TCCCTCCAGATGCTCTACGAGCCCTTTCCTCACGATATTCTCCATCACCTTGCTTGGTATACAAGTTAGGGGAAACTGGCCTGTAGTTCAGTGTCTCTTGCCTGTCACCCTTTGTGTATATTGGGACTACATTAGCTGTCTTCCAGCTTTCTGGTAGGTCTCCTGTTTCCAGTGACCTGTTATACACCATAGAGAGTGGCATGCTAAGTGCTTCTACACCTTCTTTTAGTATCCACAGTGAGATTCTGTCAGGCCCAATAGCCCTTGTCACATTCAGCTCCATCAGATTCCTTTTGACCTCATCATTGGTGAGGTCAAAATCCTCCAAGGTTGCTTGGTTTGCCTGCTCCTCATTTAGTGCAGGGGCTTCTCCTTGTTCTTTTGTGAAGACCTGGAATCTCTTGTCGAGTTCTTCACACACCTCCTTGTCATTCTCTGCGTATTTATTCTTCCCTTTTCTCAGTTTCATTACTTGTTCCTTCACCACTGTTTTCCTCCTGATATGGCTGTGGAGCAGCTTTGGTTGGGTCTTAACTTTACTCGCGATGTCATGTTCAAACTATGTCTCTGCTTCTCTCCTCACTCTGAGGTACCCATTTCTTGCCCTCTGGTATTTCTCCTTGCTCTCTGTCATTCTGTTATTCCTGTAGTTTCTCCATGTTCTTTTACTCCATTGCTTTGCTATCTTACATTCCTGGTTGAACCATGGATTCTTCTGTTGCTTTTTACTTTTCTCCTTTTGGACTGGGATAAATCTATCTGCAGCTTCCTGGCATTGCACAATGACAGCATTCAGTACTTTATTAACTCTTGTGTTCGTGAGGATTTCTTCAAAATGCACTCAAAATTAACCAGTGCAGACTACTGAACATGTGGCCCTGTATGACTGACTATCCTGTGAAATGGACACATTTTGTATCACTGCTATCCTCTAAACTCTTATATTCTTGATGATATCTTTATAATGCAATCAGAGTGTGTCAGTGCATGTGTAAAGGAAGAAATGTATATGTTTATCACTCAAAATTTTCTGTAATATGCTTACTGTTTGTGATTGTGTGTGTGTGTGTATTCATGCTGTATATGAACACGTACTGAACAGGGTGAGAATACCTTGAGCTACCTCATCCCTTTGTGTGTATTTATACCACAATAAACTTATTTAAATTTAAATTCAATTTCAAGGTGTGCCAGTGCAGATTACTGATCACATACCTCTGTATGACTAACCATCCTGTGTGATGGGGAGCTATGGGATTAGCATCACATACAGTAACTAGTTTTTGGTGCATGCTGTACTTTCCCCTTCATTTAGTCTAGGATAGCTGCACAAATGCAGATGTACCTAAATGTGTTAATAAAAAAAGCAGTAACAAAGTACCTAACAGAAAAGAGGAGATGCAATTTTATACATAACAAAAGTCATATGCTCAGTTATGTGTTATAATATCTCCTGGTTATCACATTCATCTTGTACCTACAGTCATGCCATCCCAACTTATGCCCATTCATCCACTTGTATACTTCAATCTTTCCACCCAAGAGGGTGGGATGGGTGGGGGGAGGGGAAAGACACGAGGCTATCACCAAGCACCAGGCTTCCAAACTTGGACAGACAGACAGACAAACATTCTCTCGTATAGATATAGATGGAAATGTGTCTGTGCTAGGTTGGAGGCCAAATGGGAAAGAAGTATGGAGATGGGAAGGAAGAAGAGCAAATGGGCGAAGGGGTTAGGAAAGGAGAAAGGGAGGGAGTGGGGATGTGAGGAGAGGAAAAAAGATTACAATGGTTAAGATTTAATTTGCTATTGCAAATGCATGTCAATCACATTCTGGGGTTGAATGCTCAATAACCAACTATACTATGTGAAGGATAACAGATCTCTAACCCTATCAGTGGAGCAGTCAGAAATGCACGTATTGTATGTATGCTGCTTAGCACTGTAAAAGCACATGATTCGACCACATTTTCTCGTCGAATCATCAATAGCTCACCATACAATGTAACGGCTTTCTAACCTTGTCCATAGAGGGCAGTTCAAAACCCAGCTAGAAAAAAATCCTCGGGAACAATGGGGGGGGGGGGACCTTAACAACCCACCATCTTCCTCTCCCCATCAAGGCTACTAGAGATATAGTGGCCCTTGGGTAAATTCAGGTAAATATGCTGGCTAGCATTGTTGTATAAATAAATGACCATATGTGTGTGGTAGAAAATAAACTATACAAATTAAATCTAAATGCTTGGTAATACCATTGTGTAAGCTAGGGGGAAGCTACAGGTAAGTTTACAGAAATGGGCATGGCATTGCATGCAATGTTTGAATTACACTTAGTGGGTCAGCCAGAGGCTTAGGGCCCACACAAGAATATCCCTGCAAAAAAAAAATGAAAAAAGTTTGAATTTTTCAAGTTGCTCTTTTGTGAACATATGTACAAAAAATATTAATATTTATTGTGCTCAGATTTAAAATTGAACTAATTGGAGAAATGAAAATCATATTTTGATGATCGTTATTGTATTTGCAATTTTGATGATCATTACTGTATTTGCAACAAACTTTTAAATGTTAATATAGGGATAATATTAATGGTAGGGCTCCATGGTGGCTCCCTTGTTGTCTACCAACTGGATAGCAACACACACACAAAAATATAGCAGGCCCTTGCAAGTCGTGAAACGTCTATTGGCATTCAGAGGCCAAAACTGGTCCCCCCTCATATAGACTCAGAGGACAGAGGATGCTAAATTACTCTTAATTCAGAAAATTGCTACTAGAAAGATAAAGCAAGACAATAAAAAATGCAAGATAAAAGTAAGCAAAGCAGAAAATGAGACACAATAGTTAGGTACTTCAGCTAAACATTCCCCTTCCTGCTCTTCTCTGGTGCCGGGGGTTCTGTTTGGCGCCAGGGGTTCTGTTTGGCGCCAGGGGTTTGTTCGAGCGTCTGATGGCCATTTTGTTTGCAGCCTTCTCCATCTTTTCTGCCAAAGAATGAGACAGCTGGCTTCCGGAGGGGTCCATTGGTTGTAGAGGCTTGGTTGTTAGGCCAGGGGTGCATCATGTGTTGTCTGGTTGTGGATCATGTGTTATGTCTGGTGGCGGCTTTATGTTGCTACCTGCGGGCCACTGGTTCGGTTACAGTGGACATATTCTGGGTGGATTCGGTTTCCCAGGTTTCCTGTTCCAGGGCTTGTATCTCTCAGGTTGTCTGCGGTGTCATTAGGTCTAGCCAGCCTGTGGTCTACCCTTGTGTCCATGATGTGAGGAAGTATGTTGCTCTTGCTGCTGTCTTTGGTAACACGTCTTTGGTCGACATTAGGGCATGGGGATTTTGGAGAGTGAATAGGGTCCTGGCCACCAGGTATCTCATGAACGTCCCAGGCCCTCTCTGACTTTGTGTTGTGTTGGGGAGACTGTCACGTCCGTCAGTCTCTTCTTTGACTTGAGACCTGCAGTGCTGCCACCTCCCGGATAAGTCCCTGTTTTTTTACTTATCTGTGGGTAGTTAGTTTCAGGGAACCGATGGGGTTCCCCACATAAAATCTGTGTTGATTGTAATGAAATGCCATTATCTGGGCAAGCCCCGGAAGCAGCCTGACACCCTCCCTCCCTCCCTCCCTCTGGTCGGCAGTCTTCATCGTTCAAGAACTGGAGAGCGGGTAGCACTAACAAACAGGCATGCTAATTGGATGAATTGTTGCTTGTTTGTTTTCTTTCTGGGGGAGTTCTTTTGCTATGTTCGAACGTAGGTTGTATTTTTCACCAGCATGAAGTCTGTTTTGTTTTGCCGATCTTTCTGGGTGCCCACCATGATCAATGGCAATTGTGACATATTTTAAATTTAATATGCTCATAGGCCATTGCTCCCTGCTCCTCTCTGAGGGAACCAGATTCAGGCTAATGGTTCCCAGTAGGCATAAGGACTCCTGTGACTGATGACCCCAAACTAATATAGCACATATCAGTTTGGATAACTTCAGGAAGCCTCCGGGGCTCACCCAGAAAATGGCATTTCATTACATTCAATGCTGGTTTTTTCTTTTTCTGTCCATTGTGTGCAGTTTTTCTTTGCTGCTGGCTTCCTTCTCCTATTCTGGCTCTGTTGAGTCGGCTGTGTTCTGTTTGATTCTGGGGGGGGGGGGGTGTTCCATGTTTGTGGTTCCATTTTTTCCTGATCCTTGTTCCTGGCTTGGTTGTCTTGGTTTTTCCACAAGGTCCTTCTGTTTAGTCAGCTAGTGGGCTTACTTCTGGCCAGCTTTTGTTCTTCAGATGTTCTTGATTTTTAAACAAAAGAATTTTGTTCTTCAAAGAGCTGTGTTCTTCAGATGTTTGTGGCTTTGTCTACTGGATTTTGTTATATTTCCTGGCCTCTGCTCTCCTCTGCCCCTGGAATGTCCTTTTTTTCTGTGGAGAGATAGCAACGGAGTCACGATGGAGCCCTCACAGAAAAATAGTGTTGAATGTAATAAAATACCTCTTTCTGATGGGTCCTCAGTGACATCCTGGATCTATGTAGTCATAATGGCCAAGCACTTTCTCCTCATAATTACCTTACCTTCCCCCTTTCAGGTGCATCAGTTTGCATTTCTTCGAGTCATGACTGAAAGGGTACTCAGGCAGAGCCAGAAGCTCCCAGTGCTTCCAACTGGTGGTAAGGAAGTGAAAGTAGTGATTGAACTACAGTTCCAACTACTCAGTGTCTCATTTTATGCTTTGTTTACCTTGCCTCTGCCTGTTTTGTCTTGCTTTGCCTTTCTGATTGCTATTTCCTTGGTTTGAGTTGATACGTTATTTTCTGCTCTTTATACCTCATTGATGGTGCCAGGTTTTAGCATCTGGCCCCCAGTAGGCCTGGTGCAATTTGATATGTGGAGCTATCCAGGAGATTAGCAACAGGGAGCCACTGAGGACCCACCAAAAATAGGTGTTTTGTTACATTCAACACTGAATCTTGACAGTTCATTATTTGTGTATGACTTAAAAATATTTCAGCTGGATGAAATTGTAGATCTATCAAGCCAGCTTCAACCTGAAGACCAGAAAACTGCAGCTGGATTTTGGTATGCAGCACTCAAGCAAATTCAGACTCTGTGGAGTAAGTCTTCACCATCACAAATTGATAAGGTGAGAATGAATAGAAATGGTCTATAGGCACCTTTTATAGTTTTACTTTTGTTTTATTTTATTTTATTTTTCTGTTCCAAAAATTTTTTTTTTAAAAGTTAAACCTAATTAAAAGTATGACACGATTACCCTGTTTGACAAGATCCTGCAATTCCCATAGGCATCACTATGTACAGTCAGGGCAGGTCAACATTTTGCACCAGTACAGATACTGTAGAATGCTCAGCCTAGCCTGGAATGACTTAAAAAAAAAATAAAAAGAAGTCATTTAACTATACAGTACAGTACTTGAACCTCTTCCAAGTGCTAAGTGGCATTAAAGAGACTGACAAGGAACACTGCTAATTACTGAACTATGGTATGTAGCAATTCAAGCCACTACTCCACCCACCACCAAGAACTGTACTAACATGTCAGAAGGGTAACTTAACTTTGCCTACTTCACATTTCTCTTAACCATTTCCATATCTACCCTAGACTTGCAAAAACAAAAATATCTAATTTAAGTGTATTTTCTCCTTAGAAACTTTGTTGTTCAGTGGGCTCATATATTAGCGAATGGTTTTTGTGTGCATGTTACTCAGTCTTTGCAAGTGTCTGTTATCTGTAACTGACTGAATTTCCAGTTTTAACTAATCTTCCAACTCATTTAATGCCTTAGCAATGGATATTCTTCAGTTTTCTCTACTTTCATGCTTCATAGTGAATTTATTTTTGAACATAAGAGTTTTTGCTGGGCATGCATATTAAGGATATGTTCAGTTGCCACATTATTCATGTATGTGATCAAATGTTACTTTTCTGTGGGGTACCCCTAATTTGTGATATATTAGACCGGGGCATTAGTCTATGGAGTTCAGCCTACCAGGGACCACGAGCCAGAACCTGGCCCCCCTCAAGAGAGATTGCAGGGAGAAAACCTGGAAAACCCCCCTGTGGTTGGGGTTTTTCCTTATCTGCCATTGACTGGGGTTAGGTACTCAGAATGGTAGACATAACAAAACAAACCCCACATGGTAAGAAAAGTACAATGAAAAACCGAAAAGAAAGGCAGAACTCCCTCCTATCCCAAGGAAACAAGCAAACGCGCAAACGTCACACTCCACTGCCGCGTCACTAATATGGTCCGAAGCGGATGTCTTTTCAGGCCTCGATTTCCAAGGCGGTGTTTGGTTGCCTTTGTGGCAACCTTTGCAGTGTTGTTGTGTGTGGTGGCCAGGTGTCCTCATCAGTGTTGGGGCTGCATGTGCTTAGGGGCATCCTTCCCTAGGTGCCCTGTGAATACTGCCCTTGCATGTTAGGGGTTCCCTTCCCTAGTGCGTTTGAGAAACCATTTCCATAGGGGTTTTTGCTGCTCGGGATTTACCCCGTATTTGGGGCCAGCTGGAGTTTCATGGCCCTTGTTTGGTCTTAGATAAGGAGTGGTATCGTGCTGGATGGGGTGTCAAGATTTTGTGCAGCCTGCCTACCTATGCGGTGGCCGGTTCCTGTTTCCTCTGGGGATGTTGAACTTTTGTGGGGTTGTTCTATTATTTTTTGTTTTCTTGCCTAGTGGGGGGGATGGGGAGGGGATCTGCCTGGTGTAGCTTTACAGTAGTTCCACTTGTATTATTTTGGTGGCCCTCTGCTAGGCCTCCTCGTGATTGTATACGTTGCAGGGGGTTTCAATGTTTTGATCTCCTTGATAGCTTTGGGTCTTAACCTTTTAGCAACACCTTGCCCGGACTTCCTGTAGCAGTCAGCCTACAGGGCCTGCAAAACCCTGTCAGGGCTTGGTGGACCTATGGATGCATCTCCTGAGTTCCAGCCCAACTCGTGCAGGTTTGATGGTTACCTGTGTGCCCTTGTCTCAGGGTGACAGTCACCTCTCATGCCTCCATCATGCTGCCTGTTGGGTCAACGACACCTTTGACACAGAGTGTTCCGAGTCGTGGTCTCTGCTTGTTCTCCATTACCATTCTGATGATATTGCTGTTAGGGTACAGACAGCATCTGTGTTGCATGCTGGGTTCAGGTTGCTGCAATGCGCTAGGTTGGTTTCCCACCCGGATGCCCTGCTTTGGTCATAGGGACCCGGATTTGGGGGAGCTAGTCGCCTCGACTTTGGTTCAGTGCGCACTCCCTAGTCGCTTCCCTGTCGTTCACCCTTTTCTCCCCCCCCCCCCCCCAGCTCCCAAACGTCTGAGAGTTTCGGGGTCTGGGCAGTGGGCAGGGTTAGTTGGTAATGAAACTCGGGCAGCTTCGGGGGTTGCCCCATTCGGGTTGGGGATGGAGGCATTCAAGCTGGTTCCTCCTGCTGAAGCTTCTGGGTCCCACCAGCAAGCGCCCTTCTTTTCAGCCTTTCCCCTTGACTCTTCTTTTTCTTCATCGGTAGAAGGTATGGAGGAGTGCTCTGCCCCGGGTCCCAACTTGGGGGAATCTTGGGGTTGGGGAGGAGTCGACCTGGGGGCCTTGGGCCCCCCTTTTGATCCCGCTTGGGTGTTCATGCCCTTTTCGCGGGGCTTGTTGTTTCAGGGGGAGGGGTTTTCTTAACCCCCTTCCCTGTATGAGTATGAATTGGGGTTGGCTCCTCCCTGGGTTCGGTTCCGGGCTCCCTCGGGTTCCTTGGCCCCGTCCTTCCGAAGGTTTTCTGCCTCTTGTATCTCTCCAAGGGAGGTTTGGGAAGCTCTTGCTGTGTACCTCCTGTGAGACCCGGATTCCGCCTCCGTGATGAATCTGTCCTTATTTGAGTTCGGTTCTTCTTCCCCATATTGGGTGTGTTTGGAGGTTCCGGAGTCTTCCTGGCTGGCAGACTGTCCATTCTTTTCACTGGAGGCGTGGCATGGGTTCTGTCTGACCCGCACGCTTGAGTGTCAAGAAACTCCTACCTTTCTGCAGGTTTACCTGAGGGGTCGAGTTTGAGCGCCTTAATGCGTACTCGTTCGTCCCTGTGCTTTCTCAGGATGTTTGCCTTGTGCAGCTGCATGTGCAGGTTCCTATCCTTTCGGCATCCTTGGTTGCTGAGGATTTGCGCGCCTGTGGGCATTTGGCTTCGGCCTTGCAACTTCTTTTCCCTTTTTGAGCTGTCTTTGGCCTGGTATGAGGAGAATGTGGAGACATTGAGTGCCGGGCCTTCATTTGGTGTGCTGTCCTCGGCGGCTCGGACGTTGGCCGTGCTGTTGAAGCTGTTTGCGCCTATACTGAAGGAGGTGGTGTCTCTGTTCTTTGCTTCTTGCCTTGCGTGTTGTCAGGCTGTGCACACACAATTTGGAATCCGCTTGGCCCCTGGGTCTTAGGTTTTCGTCCCTGTTTTGTCCGTTGCGGTTTGAGGAGTCTGCTGTCACGCAGTTTCTGCAGGCGGCTTCGTCTAGTTGTGCTTCGATGTTGGACATGTTGGTTCTCCGGGGCGGCCGTTCTCAGTCTTCTCGGAAGGATCGTGCCAAGGTTATGCTGATCGAGGTGGGCCATTGGTGCCAGCTTCTGAGCCGATGTTGTCTTTGGAGTCGGCATCGACTGGTTGGCATGATGATCACTCTACGGTGGCTGGCCATTTAGTGGTGCACCCTGTTAATGGGGCAATGTGGGGGGGGGGGGGGGCGAGGCTCGCTCTGTTTGCTTGCTCTTGGTCCCACAATTCGTGGGCGTTTCCAGTCATTCATCTGGCCTGTGGGTAGCATTAGTTCATTTTTTGCGGGGTTCAGCGCTGTGGTGCTTGCCTGAGCCTCTTGCCCGATGTGTTCACGTATGTGTCATCTCTCAGCTGGGGCTTTGTGACCAATGCTCACCAGGCCGGCCAAGATCGGTAGGGTCCGTCTTTCCGTTGGGTTCGTGGCACGGTGCAGGAGTTTGCAGCGGTGTAGTTTTCGCTTTGGAGGGTTCATGTCGCTCGTGGAATGATGATTCGGCTCCATTCGGACTGCTTCTTGGTGATTCATTGGCTGAACCGAGGGGGTTCATTGTGGTCTTGGCTCTTTGGAGCTGGTCGCTTCGGGTGACTCGTCTGCTGAGTTCTTGGTGTTTGGTTCTCCTGGCAGTTCATATCCAGGGGGGGTGTCCAACGACCTGGCAGATGGCCTGTCCCAGTTCATTTCCCTGTCTATGGAAGGGATTCGTTCCGTTGGCTCAGCCGGACGTTTGGGCGCCCGGAGATGGATCTCTTTGCGTTGGCTTGGTCGAGATGTCTTTTGGTGCATACTGCATCCTTCCCCAACTGCGAGGCCGTTGGGGTCAATGCCTTCCGACTGGACTGGCCGAGTCGACCAGAACAATTATAGAGTACAGGTTGGGGTTATCTGTACCTCTTCCTCCTGCTTTGGTTGTTGCTCTAGGTCCTGGTTCACTTGGAGACTTACTAGGGGAGAGTAGTCTTGTTGGCCCTCTTGGTGGCCGGCCCAGCCTTGGTTTCAGGCAATGCTTGCTAGTTGCCCTAATCCAAGGGTCTTCCTTGATCCGATCTAATACATGGCTGGTTTGATCTTTTCGTCTGATCTTTGTATCTGGTCTTTTTGACCTGGGTTTATCACCACTTGTATAACGATCAGGTGCTTCATTAATGGTGTCCTACCTGCGAGTCTCATCTCAGCGGCAGTATGAAGTTTTCTGGCGGTCCTTTCAGCACTTCTTGACTCTTCATAGGTTGTCTTCGATTTCTGATCAGATTGTTTTGTCCTTTCCCCTCTTGGTTGTTTCAGGACTATCATCTTATGCCGAATACTGCCGCCTAGTATCATGCGTTGCTGGTGGAGCCGCTTCAGCTTGTGTTCGGGGTGGATATCACTTCTGCTCCATTCCACAAGCTTTCTTGGGCATTGTTTCACCTCTGGCCTGCTCATGTGCTGCCTGAGCTGTCTTGGTCTTTGGACCAGGTGCTCTCTTTTCTCTGTTCTCCAAGGTTTGTGGTGGCCCCTTTAGTTCAGGACTGTTTATCTAAGGCGTTCTTCTTGTTGGCATTGGCCTCTGAGGGTCAGGTCAGGGAGCTTGATGCTCTCCTCCGGTGCAGGGGTTTGTGCTCTTTCGGTCCTGGTGGTCGTTTTGTTCATTTGCTGCTGTCTCCTTCTTTTCTGGCGAAGAATGAAACTGCTGCTTTCCGGAGGGAGTCTGTGGGAATTTCCCAGGAGGTGTTTAGTTATACTGTATTAAGATTAGTTATTATTGAGTGGACTGTAAAGAGTGGACTATATGAATGATTTATATACCTGCTAGATGTTACCACTTACAAAATTTTTGGGAGGTTGATTTAATATTGTTAAATCCACCTTATAATATTATGTAATCATGAGGTTAGTAAATCATGGTAATAATATTTTCTATAAAGTTAGTAAACTAACTGCAGTTATCAATGAATAGGTTTGGAGGGCTTAGCTGCCGAGTAGGTTTGCATATGTAACAGTAGAGGAACTTGTCGAGAGTCAGTCCAAATTCTTGCCTCCTAGTTGGGGTGTCGAGCCCACGTGTAAACCATAAGTTGAAGCGGCTGGTTCCCGGTTGCTTCTCTCCACTCTGCGGATAACATACAATGTAACTCCTGCAGTGCTAATATTTTCCCAGTTAATCTCAAATGAAAAGATTAACTGCCTATTTGACCTAAACTTACTCTGGATGTTTAAATTCTCCTGCGGCATAATGGCCGACCTATTCTATCACAAGTAAATATGGCCATAAATACCAATAGAATGTTAGTATCCGACTGGACACAATATCCCTTATAGTGTGGAGCTAGCAGCAAAGTTTAGGTGATGTGAGACATCGGATGACCCAAATATTGGACGACGCTAGTCGGCTTGCTTCAGTAGGGATCAGATCGAACTCGTGTCGTCATGAGACTTTGTGTGCAAGTGACTCGTTCTCCTCCTCATGATGAACATCCAGGAAATTAGTCACGCTATTTAATTCATCTCGTTCATTAATGAGACGATATTGACGTCATTTTACGCCCTAATATTTTACATCAAATTATAGAGAACAATTTTCCAATGTTCATAATGCTGGATCGGAAGTTTTTCATGATTTAAAACACATTTAAGAAATGCTGAATAAGTGATGTGATTATTATTTTGTCCGTGAGTCAACATGTCACAAATGTGGAAATTCACCTTGGGATGGAAATACACTTTAATTTTTGTTAAATTTAATTAATTTCCAATCTAAATAACAAATGCAAATAAAGCAAATTCAGGTGACTCGTCTGCTGAGTTTTCGTGGTTGGCTCTCCTGGCGGTTTACGTTCGGGGGGTGTCCAATATCCTGGTGGACGGCCTGTTCCGGTTCATTCCTCTGTCCACACAATGGACGATCGACCCCGACTGACTCGTTCCATTGGCTCTGCGGATGTTCAGGCCTCTGGAAGTGGATCTCTCTGCATCGGCGTCGTCGAGGCGTCTCCCGGTATACAGTATGTGGCGCTCTTTCTTGACTGCAAGGCCGTCGGGGTTGATGCTTTCAGGCAGGACTGGGCAAGATGGGGTTACCTGTACCTCTTTCCCCTGGTTCAGCTGTTGCTCCAGGTCCTGGCTCGCTTAGAGACTTACTAGGGGAGAGTAGTCTTCTTGGCCCCTTGGTGGCCGGAGTAGCCTTGGTTTCAGGCGCTGCTTGCTTCGTGTCTGAACCCGAGTGTCTTCCCACGGCTCTGCTTCTTTCAGGAGATCGCTGCTGTCTCTTACGAGACTGGTTCACTGTTCTTGAATTTTTGCATCTGGTCTTTATGGCTCTTATCAGAAGTCAGTCTGTCTTCAGTCTATCAGTCAGAAGAAGTCTATCAGCATTTGTATGGGGTGCAGGTGGCTTCATTGTCGGTCTCCCATCTGCATGTTTCGTCTCGGCGGCAGTATGAGGTTTCTTGGCGGTCCTTCCGGTTTTTCCTATCACTGCGTAGGTATGCTTTGGTCTCTGATAGGGATGTTTTGTCCTTACTGTTGTGGTTGTTTCAGGACCATCATCTTGTGCCGAATATTGTCGCCTTCTGTTGTGTGGTGCTGGGAGCCGCTCCAGCTTGCGTTTGGTATTGATGTTACGTCTGCTCTGTTTCGCAAGTTGTCTCGTGCGTTGTTTCACCTTCGACCTGCTCATGCATCACCTGAGCCCTCCTGGTCTTTGGACCAAGTGCTCTCTTTCCTCTCTTCATCTCAGTTTGTGGTGGCCCCTTCAGTTCGGGATTGTTTTTCCAAGGTTCTTTTCCTGTTGGCATTGGCCTCTGGGCATCAGCTTGGGGAGCTTCTTGCTCTCCTCTGGCGCAGGGGGTTTCTACTCTTTAGGTCCTGGTGGTAGGTTTGTTTGGTTGCAGCCGTTTCCTTCTTTTCTGGAGAAAAAGGGGACTGCAGCTTTCTGGAGGGGGTCTTTGGGTTTGGTGCTTGGTTGATCAGGCCGGGGATGCATCGTGTCTTGTGTCCGGTTGTGGCTCTCCTCGGTTATTTACGCACCATGGCTTCGGTGGCTGGGAATGTGCTGTGGGTTGATTCGGTTTCCCTTCTTCCCTGTTCCCGGGCTCGGGTCTCCCGGGTCATCCGCAGGATTATTAATCCTGCGGTGTATCCTTGTGCCCACGACATGCGTAAGTTTGCTGCTTTGGCTGCCGTCTTTGGCAACATGTCTTGGGTTGACATTCGGGAGCGGGGTTTTTGGAGGTCGAACAAGGTCCTGGCCACTCGCTTCCTTGTCAATGTGTCTGGATCTCATAGGACCTGCATTGCATTGGGTCGGCGGTTGCAGCCAGTTGTCTCAGTTTTGCGTTGAGGAGATAGGACTGACTGCCGCCTAGGTAAGTCCCTGTTTTTCCTTGTCTTTGGGTAGTTAGCTCCGGGGAGCGGACAGGGCTCCCGGTAGAAAACCAGCATTGATTGTAATGAAACGCCATTTTTTGGGTGAGTCCCGGAGGCTCTCCATCATCCGTCCCTCCCTCCGGTCAGCGGTGTTTTCACATGTTTCGACATCCAGCCTAAGAACTGCAGGGTGGATCGCCGGCATGGGGGTCTGGGGCTCCCCCCTTCCCACTCCTGGGGAGTGGGGGGGGGGGGGGTTGCACAGAAAGCAGAGCAGCGACATGATGACGTCATGCTTGTTTGCTAATTTTCATTTGGGGAGTTCTGTCCATTCATTCGGCTTTCGGTAGAAATAGTTTCACCAGAATAGTTGTTGTTTTGGGGTGCCTACCTTTCTGGGTGCCAGATCCAGTCAATGGCAGATATAGAATGCTCCCAACAATACGGGGGTTTCTATAGGCCATTGTTCCTCATGCCTCTTGAGGGGGCCAGGTTCTGGCTCATGGTCCCCGGTAGGTAAGAACTCCATTCACATTGACTGATACCAGAAAGTTATACATATCTATTCAGCCTGGATAGCTCTGGGGAGCCTCCGGGACTCGCCCAATAAATGGCGTTTCATTACATTCAACGCTGGCCTTTTGCAGTTCATGATAAATATAGAATTCTAGGAGTTCATACACTCTGCAAATTTCAGGTCGACATGTACCTCTATTTAGAATATTTCTGCAGTTTCTCGAGTGTTGATATTTACATGTTCCATTAGCTTTTCCTGATATCCCATATTTGCCTAATATTGGCAGATTCCCTGACCTCCCTTCTCTTCCATGGGGGATGGGGGGGTGGCTGGTTTTGGTCTTGTGTTCCTGGTAAGCTTATACATGGCTTGCAAGTGTCTGGCATGGATTGAATTAGGTGAAGCTTGCCAAGCTGCAAGCACCAAGGACCCGCCAAGGATCCACCAGAAATAAAAGTTTCATTACATTTGCTGCTGATTTTTACATGCCATGCTTTAAGCATTAGTTTTGCTTTGTCAAGGTAACTAATGTCATCCAACAATTGATGACTCTACCTTAATATTATGAAATTTTGGCAAAATTTTAGCATTGCAATACTGTAGTTAAAATAAACTCTAAGCATTATATGTGCATAAGAGGAGGGCAGTTAATAGGGGCTAATAGTACAATAAGTACAGTAGTTGCTTTAAATATTTTGTTCTGATTCATGCTTTCAAACACCAGAGCATCTTTCTAATTTCTCATAATCATACTCTCACTTGCATCCCAACTAGATAAAATATTTGTCTTTGGTTACGAGCTAGGTCCAAACATTTAAAGTAAAATGCATCTAACATTATTGGAGATAAATTGTAATATAATAATGCAAGGAGTGGAGATTATTAATAATTATTTTCTTTAATATCTAATTATTATTTTATAAAATAAAAATACTTTTATTACTACAACTGTTTTTATAGCACTGTGCAGCACGGCAGCTTCTTCCCGGAGAAGAATCATCAACTGAAAGTAAATTTTGCTTAATTAATGGTAAGTAGGTAAAACTAAGGAAATGCTGGTTTTCTTTTCATATACAGGAACTGTCCACAAAAAATTTAAATAATTAATGTGCTAATATATTTAATAAAATTGTCTAGATTTTCATGGAAATATTATTAACATAAAAAATATTCTTTTTATTAATGTAGACTGGAAGAGAAATATCCAGCAACCACGAACACCCGTTATTGCAAAGAGAGTAAAAGACGAGAGGAAAAATGGTGAGACAAGGATAAACTATGAAGAACAGAATATGAAGACTGTGATAAAGCAAGAATTGACAACAGATGGTCAGGAAGTAGAAAGGGAGGACAAAATTAAAATCAATGATCCTAATGAGGTACATACTGAGTATATTCTTAAGGACATCAGTTGTTTATTTTTTATGTAATGTACAGGTATTTAGCATTATAGGTACAGTATTTACAGGTACAATACATTTTGAAACATTTTCTGGTAGGATCTCTCGGTATCTTCCCCAAAAATATGTGATGGTGTAGCCACGCCTTAAGAAGTGCTTCAGGTCTCCAAACCCCATCATAATCTTTAATGGTGTGAGGACCAGAATCTGATACACTCTGAGGTGAGGAAGCTTTGGAATCTGTTATCTACCCAAAACTTCACTTTTCCAGGTGCATCAGTTGTCCTTTGCCAGTTCATGACTGATGGGAAGTTGGAATTGGCAGGTGAATGGCCTGTGTGTCTCATTTTCACATTGTTTAGATTTACCTTACTGTTGCCTGTTTTGTCACGCTTTACATTTTTGGTAGCAATTTTCTTGGTTGTTATCTAGCATTCTCTGCTCTCTGGCCGCATTGAGTGAACCAGGTTTTGGCCTCTGGTCTCTGGTAAGATTTTAGTAATTTGTAGGAACCTGGTGTGACATGATATTTGTAGAGATGCCTAGGCAGCTAGCAACAAGGAGCTACCAAGCACCCTCCAGAAAGAGGCATTTCATTACATTCAACACTGAATGTTTTAATGTTAAGGTTAAGTTTGTGGTCACAAGTGGACTTTTCTGGAAGTGGTTTACTAAAGCTCTCTCACCAAGATGGCTCTACACAACTGGGCCATGTCAGTTGTGGAGAGTCTGGTCCCTAGCAGGGGACTAGAGCCAGAACTTGGCCCTCTCACAGAGGCACAGAATAGAAGATTATCATCATCACCTTAACTGGGAAAGCATCCAGAAAGTTAATGAAGCTTTACATACAACTGTAAGGTGCAAAGAAAATGAAGCCCTGAAATGGCTAAATGACTTAACAAATGATTCATTCAGAACAAGTGACTCACGCAACGCTAGGTCAATCCCATTAGTACCAATGGCTGCTACCAGGCAGCCCAGAGCCTTCAGCTAATAACCAACTCCAAGATCAGTGCTGTAACTTATGTGGTTGATAACTGTAGTGTGCTTCCTTGGGGTCAAAATGTTGCAGCAGGTCCCACTGCTTCTCAGCTAAGTGCCAGCCATCCTTTGTACTTTGTTGTGTGGATGTGGAGCCACTTGATTGTACATCATATTTTTCTTTTAGTATTTGCTTCAGATGAATGTATTTCTTTCCTGACAGTTTTGCATGGACTTGGCACTTTTTATGCTGTGTGTGCTCAGGATGACCCTGCACTGAGTGAGTTCTCTCGTGTGTTCGGAAATTTGCCCCTGAGAGATCTAGCAACCATAGTGAAGAACCTTGTCTGGGCAATACAAGAGTCATCGATTCCTCTGTGTAGGCCTTTAGCTGGGGCCTAGGTTGGGTTGTCCTAATTAGGGGGTTGTCCTAATTGGTTGTGAGTGGGATGCACTAAGGTGCTTGCAACTTGTTTTATGGTATGTTACAGACACCCTTCATAGCCATGTTCTCAACTGTGTTCAGTGTCTGTTCTTTTGGCGAGTGTTCCTAGTGTCTGGGTGTCCTTTATGGCTAGTTATCTTTAGGCCCTGGCAATTTCCCTGCAGGTATATGGTATGGTTCATGATGGATTGACCCCATTAAATCTGCACTCACTATGTACGAGTTTCAAGTGTGCTCATCAGACCTGCTACTGGCCAATGATCACACTCTCTGTCTCCTCCATGCTGCCTGTTGGGTCGATAACACCTTCGACCTGGAGTCCTATAACATATGCACACATTAGGTTTCCATTTTTTCTAAGCCTACTTCTCATTAAGTGCTTACCAGGCAGCTGCCACTTTACAGGCACGATTTTCTGGTATTTGGAGTTTGTTGCATGGTGCTTGTTTGAATGCTCCCTTATGGTGTTTAGAATCCTGGCTTTGGGGGTGTTGGGGAACTCCACCTCCATCAGTCTGCCCAACCTCTTCCTTCCCCCAAAAGGTGTGGCACCCCCTGCCTCTACCCACCATCCCTTCTTCCAGCTTTGAAATGTTTTAAGGGTTTTGGAGTCAGGGCAGGGTTTTGCTCAGGATGTAGCTTGGCAATCTCTGGAAGTAGTCCTTCCCAGTTCAACAACAGAGGCAGGTGAGCTGTCTTTTCAATACAATACAATACAATTTTATTTAGGTAAGGTACATACATACAATAAATATTTACAAGAATTGTTTGACTTATAGGTAGAGCTAGTACATACAATGCCTAAAGCCACTATTACGCAAAGCGTTTCGGGCATTTCCTGCCAATGATGTGGAGCTTTCGCTTTCACAACCACTCACTCCGCTCCTTCTGCTTGGAACAATGCCTTTCTATTCTAGGCATTGATTGTGGAATACAACTTCTTCCCTGGGGTTTCATGTCTGTCCTCCAATGTTGGGAAGGGAGAGGGCAAGAGCCTGAGGAAGGTCCGTAGGTGATCTTCACTTATTGGACTTCACTTCGTTCATTCAGCAGAGGATATTTTGCTCCAGGGGGTGGGTTTCCTCTCCCCCCTTCATTGTATGAGCCAGTTTCCTTGGCTGGCCACAGTGTGTGGCCTCAAAAACAAAAACTCCAGGGTTTGATTCCATGTGGTATTCACCACTTCAGACACATTATTTCCAGAGGTTCCCTTCATCATGCATTGCACCATCTGTGGTTCCTGCAGACCTGTTTTTATGCCTTCTGCAGGATTCAGGTCTTGCTTTCTTGATGATCCCATCCTCATTCTTGTATGGGTTTGCTTTGGCTTCACGGCTGCGATATAAGAACCCGTATTCTACCTAGCTGCTGACAACCCTTCTCTTTTCCTTGGGACTTGTTGTGGGTCCTTTTGATCATGTAAGCTCGTGGCAGGTCCATCTGTAGCTAGCTGCCTGTGCTTCTGGTGCCCTTATTTGCAGATCACATGTTTCATACCCACTTGCTGATGGGTATCACAAGTTCCATGTGATGTGGATTCACTTGCTTCGGTCCTGGGCATAGGAGCTTTGTTGCCTACAATGCTCGTTTCGATGACCTTGCTCCGAGTTCCTCAACTTTATTTTTTGGGAGGTGGTGGCAACATTCTGCTTATCTCATTTTGAGTCACCAGGGTGGGCAGGCCTGGGCTTGTGATTTGGCCTAGACCCTATTCCATTTGTGTGCTTCCCTTTTTTTGGCTTCTCTTTCCTAAGTATGGTGTCACTGAAGATATTTCAGCTGCTGTTGCTGCCTGTCATCCTATGTCAGGTGTTGTTTTATTGGAGTTTTGCCCCCCCCCCTCCTTTTGGAGGCAATGCAGTGGGATTGGGACCCCTGACCAGGCTGGTGGTCAGGGTAGATACTTGGCATAGTTAGATTCTCAGGCCCTTGTGCTTCTTTCGGCAGTTGCCTCTTCTGCTTGTCATAACCATTCTGTATCATGAAAGGTAGCACCACTCAGGGTTCTTTCATGTTTCATCCCTTTGACTGCATTGTTGGGAGGGCCCATTTCACCAGCTCCTGGTCCCATGATTTTTGGGCCTTTGAGATCATATCCATTGGCCTTCAGTAGGGTGGGTTGGTCCTTTCCCCTTTTCCTTGGTTTGAGGCTTTTATGTCAGGAGTCCTACCTTCCTCTGTGTACAATAATTGTGATGTTTGGACTCTGGGACTGGGCCTAGTTTGGGACTCTTAGTTGATGTTCATCCCTGCCTTCTGTGACTTGGGTCCACCTGCAGTATCATCTTCATCTGGTGTTGGATAGACCCCAGGTGACTCAGTTGGATGAGCATTTGTGCAGGAGCCTGAACTTTACTTGTACAGTACTTCCTTTGTACATGGTTTGGGCGCTATACTGGTTTCTCCAGGTTTGCCTTTTTCACTACTGTTGGGACAGTCATGCATAGGCCCAGCCCACTCTTCATAGGCTCATGCTTTGCCAGCTTCCTCTTAACGTTTTTCAGGAACTGATTCCATGGCACTGTCCTCTCCTGTTGTTCAATGTCTTCATAGATGCTTTAGCTCTGGGTTGCGGCTTCGTGACCAGTGCTCACCAGGCCTCCCAGGGTCAGCGGGTTCTGGCTGTTGCATCGAGCACAGCTCAGTTTGTAAGTTTGCGACTGTATAGCAGGACCTGTAGAGAATTTAGCTTCCTCTGGGTTCTGTTCTCTAACTCTGTTCTGACTGCCCCTGGTGGTTCATATCCTGAACTGTAAGGGTTTGCTTTGGTCCTGCCCCTTTGGAGCTTGTCTTTTCATGTAGCTCAGATTCTTCTTTTCTGGATGCTTTCCAGTAAGGTGGCAGAATGTCACCTGCTCCTTGTGCCTCTGTGATGGGGCCAGGTTCTGGTGCTGGTCCCCATTGGGCCAAAGAGAACTCTACATACAGCTGATGCGATCTAGTAGTTAGGAGCCATCTCAGTGAGATCATATCAGGGAGCCACTGGGGCTAATTTGAACAGTGAGATCATTTCAGGGAACCTCTGGGGCTAATCCAGAAAGAGGCATTTCATTACATTCAACACTGTTTTTCTTTTAATTCAGGGTTCACTGTGTAAGTTAGCATTTTAGAAAATAATTTCATCAGCAAATAATACTGGCTTAAGGTGTTGCATACCCATTTATTTGCCCATGATAAACTTGTTTCAATATAATATATAGGTGATGATATATTTGTACTTTAGTTTATTATTATTCATCTTAGCTTATTTGTTCATGAAGCCTAAATGAGCCCTGTAAGCTGTCATGTGGTGTGTTATCTCATCTCATAGAATTATCTACATCATTACAATTGCTCCAATATTTTCTGTTTTATCTGAAACAGGAAAGTTGTTATTAACTCTATTTCTTTACATTAGAAAACGTTATATCATTTGTGTTTTATAATATATTTATGTTCATGAACATTCTCAAGTTAAATTTTAACTGTAAAGACATTGAAATAGGTAATTGTGATGCATTGTGAATTGTTGCAATTTTCACATTTATTGCATTTATAGGTACAGTCGGTTCATCTGATGATATCTGCTGATCCAATTCTGGTGCCAAACATGAGTAAATTTAGGAAAGTTTATAAAAATGAAGTAACGGGCAAGACAGAAACAGCTTACCAGTGTGAAAAGTGTCCTAAGCAGTGTCGAACAGCTTTAGCTTTGTACAGTAAGTATATTTTGTGTTTTGTTTACTTTAACATGGTTTTTCCAGATAAGGCAGATGATTGTTTTTAATTCTAGTGTAAACAGTACCACAATACTTTTATACTAAGCTGTCAAGTGTTTCCACTTAAGTTAAACAATATTTTGCTAATATACAATATTCGAATTATTGCACAAATAGCAGCAGTATTGAAAATAAAATAGATGAATTAAGTGCACTTGTGTTCACAGAAACCATAACTATTATTGCAATAACAGAATCATGGATGAGTGTTTAAAATAGGTGGATAATAATGTATATGCAAATTATAATTGAAGACTAGAGACATAGTATGCCTCCTAAATTAATTAGGTCCAATAATAATAGCCCAAAGTGGTTAACCCTGGAACTGAAAAACTTTATTGGAAAAAGAAAGCTACAGTATCCACTCAATTTAACGGCCTCTTTTATACCGATCTGCCGGTATTAACGACCGGTTTGGGAGCCCAGTATCTAGAGCCTGCTATACCGGTCTGCGGTCGATATTACCGACAGTCAGTATTGGGTTTGTTGTGGCATCAGCGTCCCCTCACATGGCGACCAGGCCGCCACCGACCTGGATCGTCCAGAGTCATATATTACATCTTAATTTTCTTTTAAAATGATTCACTTTAATGAAGAAAATTGTAAATTATTATTAATAAAATATTTTGAAACAGTTTTTATTAAGCAAAAGTCTTTGTTTTCTTATTAAATACCTTTTATAGTATGTATAGGCACTAGGTATTTTTTTTCCCAAGGACCTAGTATGTACTCCGCCGGGCCATGTGTTCCCATTGTTTACTGTGAACTCGCGCGGCTAGCTTCAATTGTGAAGGATATTACTGTACTGTAATTGTGATCTTTTTAATTTACAAAATGCCAAAAGTTACCCAAAGGAAGCGCCTGACGGTTGCACAGAAGCTGGAGTTAATTAAGAAACTTGATAAAGGATATTCTCATGCACGAGCAGCAGCAGAGTTTAACATCGGGAAAAGTACAGTAAGTGACATCAAGAAACAGAAGGATACTCTATTAAAATATGTGAGCACAACAGAGTGTGCTACTTCTGGTGCTGCATGTTCGAGAAAAACAGTAAAGTCTGGTCAGTATCCACAATTGGATGCTGCAGTGTATAAGTGGTTTATTCAGCACCGCACAATTGGCATGGCAATAAGATTTGAAGAGCTTAAAGTTGCAGCAAGTAAACTTGCCATTCAATTAGGTATAAAAGATTTCAGTGCAAGTGATGGGTGGGTTGGAAGATTTAAGGCTCGGCATAACATTTCAAACACCAAAAAATTTCTGGTGAGGCGTCAAGTGCTGATCCCACTAATGTTGATTCATTCAAGGCTAAATTAAACGAGTACATTGTCAGTAATAATTTAAGCAAATATCAAGTATATAATGCTGACGAGACTGGGTTTATGTGGCGAGCTGTACCAAGTACATCCTTAACCAGTAGGATGCAGGAAAATATTCCTGGACGAAAGATAAGCAAGGAACGGCTCTCAGTCTTGCTCTGTGCTAATGCTGATGCCTCTCACAGGACAAAATGTGCCGTGGTAGGCAAGTCTAAAAATCCTCGAGCCTTAAAAAATATAATGCAGGCATTACCTGTAATATATTACAATTCTAAGAAATCATGGTTTAATCAAATAATATTTATGGACTGGTTTGAAAACCACTTTTGCAAAGAAGTCAGAGAATTCCAGATCAACAAATGTGGAATAAAGGCCAGTGAGGTTAAGGCATTGTTGCTGCTAGATAATGCCCCTGCTCATCCCATTAGCAAGTTAATTTCAAGGGATGGCAGAATAAAATGCATGGCACTTCCACCAAACACAACATCCTTGATCCAGCCCATGGACCAAGGTGTTATCCTTGCTGCTAAACGTATGTACCAAACAGCAATGCTTGAAGATGTTTTAGTTGTTTTACCTAGCGAGGAAGATGAATTGACAGGAAAGGATACAAGGGCTCAAAGAACACTAGAAAATCTAAAAAAGTACACAATCAGGGAAGCAATATTCCACTGGGCTAGGCTTTGGAATAAAGTGAAAGAAACCACACTAACAAATTCATGGAAGAAACTGTTAACAGAGAGGCCTAGATGTGAAGCAGCAGTATCTGATAGTGAATTCGAAGGTTTTGAAAATGAAGCCAATGATTTTGAAGGGTTTGAAGAAACGATCCGAACAATGTTGCTCCAAGCTGGTCAGGGTGTACAAGTGAATGATATCAATGAATGGTTAGAAAATGATTACGATCCTGGTTATGAATTGTTAACTGAAGAACAGATTGCGCAAAGTGTTCTCGGAAATGACTCTGATGACTCTGATGATGACTCGGACGATGTTGGTGAGGCTCTGCCTAGAGGTGTCGGATATCAGAAAAGATTGGAACAAGTTGAGGAACTCATTGAATATTCAATAAAAAGTAAACATGAGGTTATTGGAAATTTTTATGTACACCTTACAGCCTTAAAGCAATGTCTCAGAACGTTAGCCAGAGAAAATCAGATTCAGACAAAAATAGATAAATTCATGATTTCAACGGTTCGTGAAAAATCTTCGTCGACAAGCGATGCTGCACCCGTCGATGCTGAATTACCATCGACAAGTCATGGAGCATCCGCCAGCAATGAATGCTCTACAAGCCATGTTGCACCCGCCGATGCTGAATTCCCACCAAGTCGTGACAAGTCATCCACTAACGATATAAAATATGATTGAAAGGCATATAAATTAGTGTAAAAAGTGTTGATAGAGTACAGTATTGTAAGTGTTAATGATTAATTAAGGCTAGACAAAAAGATACTGTACAGTGTAAATATACAGTAGAAATAATTGTCAATAGTGAAGTAGAATTAGAACTCATGTGAATTAGTAGTAAGGCTAGCTGTTGTGTGAAGTGAGTGCCTGAAAATAATTGTACATATAAAACAAGCGCTGCAGAGGATGACGTAATCAAAACAGCTTCGTAATCTTCAGCTTCATTAAAAGTAAGTCAATTTACCAATTTTATTATAGTATTACAAGATATTAATTGTTTTTTTTCAACAAAAGCTACATATTAGTCTCTGCAAATGTATATTCTATCGTCAGCAGAGAAAAGGTGAGCTCAAAATATTTGGTCTTGGCTAGCTCTCAGTGACAAGGCTCGATCGCCATTGTTATGGCATGGCCGCCACAGCCTGTGTCGTAACATTAAAAATACATTACAGTACCTGCACTGTTCAGGGTAAATCAAAACACATCTCTAAAATTTTATTAAGACAATATTAACTCACTGATTGATACATGAAATATTTTTCAATACAAAGGAATGAATCAATTTTTTCCCACCCATCTGGACTTGATCAGAGCGTGTTCACACATCATCCATGCAGCAGCCAGCAACTGGCTTAATCGTCGGCCGTGCACTAAATTGGAATGCAATTACACAATGAACTTTATTTAATTTTAGTTATACAGTATAAAATATATCCTACCTGAATGTTACTTGAAAAATTACCCGACCCGACTTAACGTCGGAAATAACGGAGCTCCGTAAATAACGACTTGGGCTCAGCCCCATATAGGCTGTTAAATTGAGTGGATACTGTATATAATAATAATGTCATTTTGTCGTGGGGACAGGCAGCCAGTGTATGCACTGTATACATGTTAGGCTTGTATCAAGGTTCCACACCAAGGTCAAACTACTGACCCTCCCCAGGATACAACCCCATAACAAGCTGACTAACTCCTGGTTGCCTATTTATTGCTAGGCGAACAGTCACATTAGGTGATTGGAAACGCACCCAACCATTTCTATCTCGCCTGGGATTCAAATTCGGAATTCCCGATTGTGAATCAAGAGCGAACCTGATTACACTTCTAGGACACTTAAATAAATTAAAAAAGGGAAGCCTTCCTAGAAAACTCGCACCGGCTACCCAAGACTCCGGTTCTAAGGCTAGTGCTCTAGGCGGAAACCATATGCTCTGGCTCCTGAATTGGTTCTCAGCTCTGTGCCTGTGCGGTGTGGTGACTGTCCTATTGAAGGTGTGCGAGCCAGGAGAAATTCTTCAGTACTCGGGATGCATACGCCAAGGGTTTCCCTTCCCTAAGTGCCTGGTAAGTACTGCCCTTGGGGCTTGGGGCCCTCCTTCCACAAGTTCCTTGGGTTCTGCCTCTGCTTGGTCGTTTGCTGCTCGGCATTCGGCCACCCTTTGTGTGCTGCGGTGTTCTGGCATCCTTGTTTACTTTAGAGTAAGAGGCAGTTTGCACTGGTAGGGGTGCAGGGTACTACACAGCTAGTTTTCACCTCTCATAGCAACCAACTCTGTTCCGCATGGGTACGCTGTCCTCTTGCAGGGTTTTCTTTTTCTTTTTCTGCCTGGTAGGGGGGGAGGGTTTGCCTTTGGTTGTTGCCCCCGGTGTGTATAGCATACCTTTCTCTGTTCTGGCGGTACCCCCTGCTAGGTCCCTGTGAGTGTACACTTCCCAGGAGTTCAGCTACTTAGAAAGTTGCTGGTAGACTTGGGCGCCAGTTAGCAGTACCCTGCCTGGGTTTTCCTGAGTGAGAGTTCCGTCTCAGGACCCTGGGAATCCCCACGTGTGGGTCTGATGGATGTGACCCCCGAGTTCCCCCGAGTTTTATGCAAGTTTGAGTGTTGCTCTGTCCCCTTGTCTCCAGGTGACTCTAATTGTTTTTGCCTCCGTCACGCTGCCTTCTGGGTCGGTAATACTTTCGACCCAGAGTCCTGCGAGTTTTGTTGCTTGCTGGTGACTCAGTTTATCCAGTCTACTGATGACTATATACGGGTACAGGCGGCACAGGCATTGCTCGTTAGGTTTAGGTTGTTGCAACGTGCTCGGTTGGATGCTGAACCAGAAGCCCCGAGGCTGCTTCGTTTTGGTTATAAGGACCCGGACTTGGGGGTGTTGGTCGCTTCGGCCTTGGTTCAGTATGCACCCCCTCCCTTGTTTTTCCTCTGC